GTTTGTCTAATTTTTAAATTAATCAAATTGATTTGTAAAAAATGTTGTTCAAATATTTAATATTGAAAAGTGATTATCTATCGCAATGTTTTGAAAACATGACCAGGCATGACATTGTAACTGGGCCAATGAACAATCAAATTTTAAATTTTAATTTAATTTTAAACTAAGTAATTATATATATATATATATATATATAAACATATATGTGCAAATATAAAATTATTATTATAAAAGTTAAAATCAGAATCTAAAAACTATGAAAATAAAATGAAAATTTCTAAAATAATGTATAAATGTAATGAAAGCTAATATATTTATATAGATATTAAAATAATATTATTTTTATGATTTTTAAAAAAAAAATTGAATTTTTTACTTGAATTTCATAAAACCATGTTGTAATATCAAGCTGGATTATTGATTTTAGTGGATTTTCATGGTTTTTAGCCAGTTGTTACTGGATTTTTCGTTTTAACTCAAGTCCAATTCTAGCATAATCTGGAAATCGATTAGAAGTGCGAGTCACGGTTTGACCGGCATATATGGTCGAATTTTCAACACTGTTATTGTTTTATATTATTACCTGCAAAAAAAATTATGCACATTTTAAATCTCTTATTATAACATTTTATTATTTATTTAAGAAAATATTTTACACAAATATTATTACAAAAATATAAATATAATTAAAAATATAAAAATAAAAAAATTGATTTTTTCAAAAATGTAAAAGAAAAAATATACCCGCCCTTTGAAGGGCGGGTCAGAATCTAGTTTCTGATTAAAAATTAACGTTTACACTGATCACTCCTATTATACTGAGCTGAGAGAGTGTAACAAACTATTTAAACACATAACAGAATATTAAACCGGTCGGTTTAGCATACAAAACCGACTAATCTGTTTACAATACTCTGTTTTTTTTTCGCTAAAATATTTACAATAAGATAAACACTAAAGTTGAATCCTTTCCGATAAATTTGGAAACTTTAAGTGAAAGAAACCCTAATTCTTGAAAAATCCTCTTATACTGAGACTGAGAGAGTGTAACAAACTATTAAACTATGTAACAGAATATTAAACCGGTCGGTTTAGCATAATACTAAACGGACTAATCTATATACAATACTCTGTTACACATGATAAACAGTAAAGTTGAATCCTTTTCGATAAATTTAGAAACTTTAACGCTAATTCTTGAAAACCCAATTGGGGAATTTACCGTTAACGGAAGGAGATAGGGTGGGAGAATCAAGGGAGATGAAGACTGGGGAGGGGACGGTGAAGCTGGAGATGATGAAATAGTAAGCGATGGCGACGAGGGAGAAGTATACGAAGAATTTGAGAAAGGTTCGAAAGGCTCGCGAGGAGGAGGAGGAGGAGGAGGAAGGAACAGAGGAGGAGGAGGCGTCGTCTAGGGTTTCTTCGACAAAGCGGGCGACTTTGGGGCCGTTAGGCAACAACACTAAAGTTAATTGCTGTTCCATTGAAGAAGGAAGGAGGGAAGAGTGTGTGTTAGATGGTTAAGTGAAGGTATTGAACGCTTTTATAGTCACTGTTGGAGAGCGCCGAGTGATAGATAGAGATTATTTTATTTTTAGTTTTGTGGATACTAAATAATCAGAGCAAAAATTCGACACTCTTATTTACTGTGTTGACATTACAGTGACTTACACTTATTCTTATTATGGTAACTACTCATCGGCATAAGTTTTCGGTCGATTCGGTTATGTTAGTTCTTGGGATTATGATCCATTGTGTATTTAGAATGTTAGTTCGACTTCAGTTCGATTAGAATAACAAAGTTGAGAATCAGCTTATATCCAAAGTAATTTTGGATATGTTCTGGTTCATTTACGGGTTTTCGTTTAGTTCAAGTTAAAAGTCACAAGATCGAGTTTTTTCTGATTAAATATCAGATTTTAGGTGTTTTTAAATAAAAAAATTTGAATAATTAAGATAATTTTTAATATTTGGGTTAAAAAATATTCTAGTAATTCAATATTGTGATAAAATAATATTTTAAAATTATTTATTTATTTTAAAATTAAAGACAGTTAACATGTATAAATATATATAAATTATAAAAATTAAATTAACATCTAATTCTCAATTTGGTTCTAAATTTTCGGTTCTAGAGATATAGGATCCATTAGTGAATTGATAGGATCCAAACCAATCTTGTTTTTCGGTTCGGTAACCTATTTTTCAGTCAACCTTAATTAGCATTGTTTTGCGTATTAAACTTATGATTCATATTGTCCTGTCACATTTTACGGGGTAAACGACATTAAAACGGATGTAAATATGATTAGAACATCTTTAAAAAGACATTTTATTTTAGAGTTTGCAAAATTTTATATATGAAGTTTGTATGTGTTATGTTACAAAAGCAAAACTTCAAATTTAAATCTAAAACTATTTGTCGTTTATACTATAGTCCTTATATTTGTCATAATTAGTTCAAAATTTTATAGAACTTTTATAAATAACTAGCACATATATAAAATATTACAGCAATATTAAATGATAAAATGTTACACTAAAATATGAAATTATTAATAGAAATATATAATTAAATATTAAACTATAAATAAAATACCACATTATTGTTGTTCTCCAGTTTTAATTTTAACTATTTTAAATTTTATCTTGTTGTTTTGAAAAAAAAATATGTGTAAAATTTAAATTTATAAATAAATAAAATATTTATGAGATATGAAGTTTTAAGCGTTAAAATGATAAACCATAATATATATAAGAATTATAAATATAACTAGATGTTGACCCGCACACCCGTGCGGGTATTTGTTTAACTTTTAAAAAATATAAATATTGTTGTATTACTGTTAAATTATTATTTATATTGAATTTTTTTTTGTTTTTTATATATTATTTTATCAGTATTAATGGTTGTTTTATATTGAATGTATAAAAATATTTGTAATTTAATTAGTTATTTAAATTTTTATTTATTTTATGTCAATTTTATGCTATTCATGTAAATTTATATTTACAGTTTTAAAATAGTAATTATATATATTATAAATGGACTACTTGTTTTTGGAGAGAAAAATTGATATGTTTTAATATTTATGAAATGTTAAAAATAATTGTACATTGATTTCATATGATATTATTTTTCTTAATTTATATATGTATAATTAGTTACATGTAAAATTAATTAATTACTTTAAAAGGATTTTGTTAAGATATATTGTCATTTGAAAAATCATTAGTGCTGACTATATATAAAATTATTTGATTGTATATTTTTAAGGAAAATTGCTAAAATGACAATATGCTTCTTTCTTTTATTGATATCCATCTTTCCAAACATTTTCATTTATACTGCTATCTTTGTTTCCAAACAACTTTAAAATGTACTTCAGTTTTAATAATATAGATGTATATTTGTAAGGATCAAATGCAAATAAAAATATGAAACTTCAAATCAAAAGTTTTGAGTGATACTATCTACTCTATTAAAATAGAGTTATTCTTTTTATCTACTGATACAAGTTGTCATTTAAATTTGGACCATTTCTAGAATGTTACAAATAATATAAATCATATAATTAGATTGAACCGTATTACTTAAATTAAACCAACACAATTAATGTAAAGAACCTTAATGTAAACTACCTTCAAAATATGGCAGGTATCTATGTGTATACACATATTTTCTCTTACAAATATGGAATGTTCTAAAAGAATATATATCATCAAAATATGGAATATGGAAATCTACTAATTATACTTAAATTAAACCAGTGTTTATTAATGGAATATAGTATGGGTTTACTTTTATTTTTTGAACAAATTATATAGTTTGGTTTTTTGGCTTAGTATTAAGAAAAAACTCCAAAAAAATGAATAAACTTTTCACCTTAAAAGATCAAAAATCAGTTATTATTTTCAGACCCAAAAGGTATTTAATATTTTTAACAAAATAAAATTATCTATTATTAATCATTTATTTAAATCATGTACTTTAAAAATGTTAATATATTTTTTATTTCAAATAACAATCACTTTGTTTTGATAAATTTCAATGGTAACTTTTAAATAATTTATTGTTTTATTTTCTTTAATAATTTACTGATTAAAAAAATGTAAAGAAAAACCAAAAACCAAATCCAAAACCAAAAGTTGAAAACACATGTTATATTTTTTTTCTTTGTTTATTTACAAAATAAACTATTTCATTTTTTAAAAAAAAAATTGTTATCATCTTTTCAGTTTTAAATTAGATGTTCGATTATTTGAGATTTGTTTGTTGGTAATAGTAGTTAAACTAACTCAGCGGGTTTAAAATTAAAAACCCAAACCAAAAATTGAAAATGAAAAGTAGAAACTTAAAAACTAAAAACTAATAACCAAAAACCAAAATCTAAAAATAAAAACTGAAACTAAAAATTAATGAAAAACAATCATCACCACAAATTTTGGTGAACTGATTTTATATCAAAATATTCTTTAAATTAAGACAAAAACTCAATTATATAAATTTTTAATCATAAAAAAATTTTGCGCTTTCAAGCGCGGGTCAAAATCTAGTATATTTTAAGTTTCACTATTCAAAACTTCAAATTGAAAATAATAGAATTTTTTTTTTAGAACCAAAGTTTTATATTTGAAGTTATAGAGTATCTTTTGGAGATGTCCTTAGAGCATCTCCAACCCCACTCTAAAACCCACTCCAAACTCCATTTTGCAGTAAAATCTTCTCTAACCCTACTCCAAAACTCACTCCAAAATGGAGTAACAATATGATTACTCCAAATATGGAGTAAACCAACTCATTACTCCAAAATGGAGTTGAACTTTTTTATTTATCAAATAGTCCTCCACATTTATATATGTTTCATTTTTAATATAATATTATTATAAATAAGTACTATATATATTATAAAATTTACTGTTATATTTCTTAATTATATAAATAGCCTCATTTTTAATAAAATATTATTATAGATAAGTATATTAATATTATTTTACTATATATTAGAAAATTTACTGTTAATATTTCTTAATTATATAAATAGCCTCGTCTTTAATAAAAATATTATTATAAAT